GAGTACACATGGGATATTCTTCAGAATGAGGATTGCAACAGATGGCTGCCATGCAACAAAAATATTTGAAACTAAGATCAGTGAATCTGAAGCAAAAGGTGGAGAACGATTATGACCCCGATAAGATTTCTTAGAGTCCGACTTTTATAGGGAACTAGAACCTGCCAGGGCAAAATGGGCAGAAATATAGGAGGTGGAAGCTCGGCTGCTGCTTCCGGGACTGGGGACCTGGAGTGGCTGAGCCACTGTGACGCCCTGGGGCAGAGCTGCTCGCACAGGTGGAGGTGAGCTGCCTGCCCTACCTTCAGCTCACTGCTCTCCCTCGGTTCCGAGGCTGGTGGAGAGCCTGTGACGTACCCAGTAAAAGCTGCATCATCTGGATGCTGGAGAATCTGGCAGTCACAACTTCAACTCATGAGAGGATGTGAGGCTTTAGCCTCCATGCCAGTCACACCGACAGGAAATCAAGATCTGGCCTGAGGCCTCTCTACAATGTCCTATCTGGACCTGAAAGGAACACCGACATAGAGAGGACCCTTTGAAAGCCACTTCACAGACTGTAGACAACTCCAGGAAAGCCCAATCACAGGACTGAGGTTAAATCCTGAAACTTGGCCTGAAGCCCACTTGACATCAGTTGATTCAGATAGGATCCGGCCTTCCGGGACACATCTGAAGAACAGCGTCTTTCCACAAAGACGGCCCTGTTTGAGGGCTGGCGATGTGGGGAGCGGGACAGTCTGTAACGCACTGACTGCCACACAAAAAAACTAGAAACTTTTCCTTGGGGCCACAGTGTTTTATTGCAAAAACAGAATAAAAACTTCGAGTGTAATTTAAAGGTAAACATAAAAACAAAATTTATGGACTTCTATTCATTTAATCTACGTTTTTAGAATTAAATTGTCAATACTAATTGTAACAATAAGAACATCAACAAGTAAGATTTTATATATGCTTCACGTGGCCCCAGGGTCAAAACTGGAGTGGGTTAAATAGAACTCTCACGGCAGCGAATGTGTTCACTGGAGCTGTCCAGGCCGACATGAGACTGCGGCAAGATAGGCACCCTCACTGCCATTACCAAGTGTCGCGCTGGAACCAGTGACTGCAGGCTCATTTGCTGGACTGGTTGGTAGAAGCCCTAAAACTAACTTGCCCTCGGTCCTATTATGTTTCTGCCACAGCCAATCTCTCCGTGTCCTCAACAAAACAGCCCCATTAAATTATCCTTGATTTAATAAATACTTTTGAGCTGTATGATGCCTCTTCCCATCAGGCCCCACTTCCCACATTCGGCTTCCATTTCTATCACTCCACTCACCACAGGGACTTGTCTGCTCTGTCTCCCGATAGATACCAAGTTCCTTTAAAACAGGCACTGGTCATCTTTGCCTTCAGAACTTATCACAATGCTTGGTATGTGGTAGGCTATCAAACATTTGTTGAATGAATTAAGCAGATTCTATATTGTCTCTTACCTGTAATTTCTGGGGGAAAATCTATCTCAAGCACATAAACAAGGTGAAACTGTCCCATTCAAGACCTAAAATCAGGAGATCAGTAAGACTAAAACTTAAAACTGGGTTTTCTTTCACTTATTTTTAAAATAAGTACAAAAAATACATCTACGATAAAAAACAAAATAAAACACTGGTTGGTAAATGAAGAATACAAGAATAGCTACATTTGAAAGACAAAATGTGCAAAAAGACTTAGAAAAACAGGAGGACCCCAAGCACTTACTGGGCAAAAAACATAAACTGACAATTCACTGAAATGAAAAATACAAACAAAACATGGAAACACTTTCCACCCTTACAAGACATTATTTATCTATTAAATTAGCAAAGTTTTAACCAAATGGTAATTCAGAAATGATGGTGTGACGTCAAAGGGCACTCATACACACTCAAGTTTTGGGGGTATCAACATGGTTACATAAGAAACCTAAAAAATACTTATAACCAAGGTATGTATATGAGACTACATGTGTGTATATTACATACCATGTACCTAGACATAAAAATGCAAACTAAAAAAATCTTTATATTTTTATATGAACTTATTTTTTTTTTAGAGACAGAGTCTTGCTGTGTTGCCCAGGCTA